TAGAACATCCCTCAAGATAAGCCTTGAATCCGATGGTACTAAGGTGCATGCTCGCCAAAGAAACCGTGTGGAATCCACATCCACAGTCCCTTGAAACCCCCTCCAAGGATCTTCTCCCTCTCTCAAACTCCACCCTTTCCTCTCTCTTTCAAGCTCTCTCTTCAAGTTCCCTCTAAAAGAATGAAGCTACAATGGCTGCCAAAGACACTTACTAAGTGCCATGTCAAAACTTAAATAAAAGAGCTCAAAACAAGCTCATTAATTGCAACTTGTCAACTTTATCATCCAGGACGATATCTATATCGTCTTGGGCGATCAGTGTAAATTAAGCCCAATCAGCCATGATGATTTGGGATGATCAGAAGAAATTTGTTCATATCTTCCATGACCATAATATATCATCCTGGCCGATCAGTACAAATTTTTGAATATCATCCTGAACATCGCCCTGAATAAGAGTTGTCCGATGTCCAATCATCCAGAGGATCATCTCGACCGATCCTGCTATCGTCCAGGATGATGTTATCATGTAATCAAATATTAATTACTTTCCTTAAATACCAAATTAATTTAGGAAAATTTGTGTTTGATTGTCCAGTCCAATGCCCGGGATGATGCCTAGGATGATGTCCAAAAATAAGTATTACATAAATAGATCTGGCGACTGATTCTTTTTTATTTTAGCCTATCGTTATGGCTTATACAAAATCGTCTAGGACTATGTGCTTAATGACTACTGCCTTAATAAGGATGCCCTAACTAGGATTTCTATTTTTGAACCGATCATCTAGGCCGATATAAATATCATCTTGGACGATGTTACCAAAAATAGTAAACTCTAGAATACAATCAGAAATTCTCCCAAGGTGTGTGTGTGCAAGGTTACTTAGCATCAGAAACCACATTGTTTATAATAGACTTAAAAAGGAGAAAAAAATATAAACTCACTCTGACTTAATCTACCCAATCTTGAGCTGGCTTAAGTTGCACTCGATCTTGTTGACCTGAAAAGTTAGTAGGCAAGATAGCCGTAGAAAATCATGAATGTTTGCTATCATCAAAATTCTAATCCATGAAAACAGATCTGCAACACTACATGCCATAAGAAAAATATCTAACATCAGGAAAATGATTTACTAATCTATTCAGGTTATATTGCCTCTTCCTAGGTCTTAGCTTTAAATCAAGTGTTGGTATTTTTCTATTTCTCTCAAGTGCATTCAATTCAGCTTTAAACCTCAAGTTAGGACTTTATAAAACAACATTATCAACATTCAAATAGTGCTCCCTATACTCAGATTCTTTAATATAAGTTTTAAAATCATATTGAAGTTAGATTTATGATGCTTTTAAAGAATCATGCTCAACAGCCAACTCAAAATGCTTTTTATTCAATTCATCAGACTCATGAAGTAATAACATGTGATTGCTTTTAATTTGAGTGTGATCTTTACTTAAGATTTCATACTCTTTTTACAAATTTAAAAATTCCAATTTCAGACTAGCATGAGTTTTCTTAAATTTTCTATTTGATGCATGAATATTCTCACGAACTTCAAGTAATTAATCGTAGGTTGGTTCACATACCTCTTCTTGATCAGACTAACCAAGATGATCACCCATCAAGCACAATTTTATTGTCCCTCTTTAACTTTAGTCTCAGATAAGTCAAATGAAGAATTCACCTAGAAAGCCTTTTGAAACCGCTTCTTGTCATTATCTTTTATGAACTTGTGTTTCTCCTCATCCTTCTTCTTGCTTGGGTGATCCTTAAGTATAGGACAATCAGCTTTGACATGTTCAAGCTTCATGCATTCAAAACAAACAACATAAGAAGAACTTTTATTATTTTTGCTGCCCTTACCTTTTTTTTATTTCTAATGGTACTTATACTTCTTCCTTAGAAAGTTTTTAAATTGTCTCGTGATTAAGGCAACATCACACTTTCAGACCCAGAAGAATCAGTGTCCATGTTATTAGCCTTCAACGCCACAATTTTCTCCTTCATTTGCTCACCTGCATCATATTATCTTTGGTTCACTCCATGCTCGTAAGCAATGAATGATCCAAGTAAGTTATCAATAGAATAAGTATTCAAATCTTTGGATTCAATAATTATAATAATCTTAGCATCAAAGGAAGAAGGCAAACATCTCAAAATTTTATTCACTCTTTTATAGTTAATTAGTTCTCTTCCTAAAGCATGCAATGAGGTGACAATTTGTATAAACCTAGTATACATGTCAGAAATTGATCCAGTAAGTTTCATACAAAAAAGCTTATAGTCATGCAATAAAATATTCAACCTAAATTATTTAACTTCATTGGTTCCTTCATAAGTAATACACAATCTATCTCAAATTTCTTTACCAGTTGCACAAGTTGAAACACATATATAATCTTTATATTTCAAAGCATAGAAAAAATAGTTCAAGCATTTTGCATTCAGTTGAGTTAAATCCCTATCATCAAGAATATATTAAGTAAAAGAAAGTACAGTAGTAATGCCTTTAGTTTTATGAGTTGGAGGTGTATAACCATCCTTAATAAGCATCCACATGCGATAGTCAATCGATTGTGCGAGTTTTCCAAAAATCAAAAGAAATATTGTCAAACCGATGTGGTCGTGTAATAAAATAACCTTCTGTAGTATTATGATTACCAAAGTTAGCCATTGATCAAAATTCAAAAGTTTTAAAAATTTTATTTTATGAATCCCGCTTTGATACTACTTGAAAGTTTGATAGGGATGTTAAGCCTTTATGAACTAACCCAAGGCTAACCAAGAGGGGGGTGAATTGATATTTTAAAAAATTTCTCAATCAAACACAAACTAAAACCAAACCAAAATTCACCACAAAGAAAATCAAAGTGTGGAAATTAAATGTGAAAAAAGTAATAAACAACATAGAAATTTATACTGGTTCGATCAACTTGACCTACGTCCACTCCCCGGAGGTGTCCTCTGAGTATTGCACTAACTCAATCTCTCTCCTTTTTCCCCCACAGCAAGGAGGAGAAGCCTATACAAACCTCCTTTCCACCGACACTGGTGACGTAGAGAATCGACTCCTTTTACTTCCTCCTGAAGCAGGTATAGAACCCGACTCCTTTTACTTCCTACTGAAGCAGACAAAAAACCTTGATCAATTGCTAAAGTAGACATCTCTCGAACCTCCAAGGACTAGGGACAATGATTGGAGATGACGACTTGGATCCTTGCTTGGAGCAACCTTTGTGAAATCCCTCTCAAACTCCCCTTCACAAGATCCCCTCTCTCTCTCTCTCTCTCTCTCTCTCCATTTCTCTCCCTCTCCTCTAGGCTCTCTCAAGCCAAGACAGCAGTAAAAGATACTCTATTGGATAAAATAAGAGGTCTTATATAGAAGAGCGCCATAATAGCTCTTAATTGCAACAAACTGACTTTATCATTTAGGATGATATAAATATCATTTTGTACGATCAGTACAAATTTAGCTCAATCAGCTAGGATTATTTGGAACGATCACTGGGTTTTTTGTTCATATCGTCTAGGATGATAGGCTATCGTCCTGTACGATTAATACAAGTTATTGAATATCGACCAGACCATCGTCCTGAATGGATGTCTTGACGATGTAAAAATAACTTGATCGTACAGGCCGATCTCACGATCGTCTAGGACGATTAGTTTAATTCAGTACAAATCATCTACAGCATCACCATGAATAGAATCAGGTCGATGTTTGATTATCCATGAATAACTAAGGTTTGTAATTGATCGTCCAGGACGATATGATCGAGCAATCAAATCTTAATTGCTTTTCATTTTTACCAGATTAATTTAGGCATAATTATACTACATCGTCCTGGATGATGTCCAAAAATAACAAATTCCTAAATAGATCTAACGGTTAATTTTTTTCTTATTTGAGTATATCGTCCCGGCAGATACTAATATCATACATGACGATTCTCTTAATTGTGGCTGCCTTAACCAGGATGCCCTAATTAGGGCTTCTATTTTTAATTGATCATCCAGGACGATTTTTGGATCATCCCGGATGATGTGATCGAAAATAGAAAATTCTAAAACAGTCAGAAATTTTCCCCCAAGTGTGTGTGCAAGGATAATTAGCATCATGACCCACATTGTTACAAAGGACTCAAGAAAGGGTACAATACACATGTAGTACATTACAAACTGACACAGTCATAATGTATCCAATTTTGAGCTGGTTCAATTGTAGTTAGATCTTGTTGATCTGAAACGTTAGTAGGCAAGGCAGTTGTAGAAAAACAGAAGTGTTTTCTATCATAAAAATTATATTCCCTGAAAACAGATTCGCAACAACGCCATCCTTCTAACCTCCATTGTCAGACAACAGTTCTTTCAACCTCAGTCGCTCGCTGACTACGATCCTTCCGACTTACGTCGCCAACCAACGATAGTCCTTCCAACCAAACAAATACATCAACAGTGATTCTTTTTATTCACATCATATAATATACTTTATAAGATGTACACCAACCTAAGACATCCCCCCCCCCCAAAGGACAGGGCCCTCATATTTGTAATCCTTTTTTTTTTTTTTTTTTCCCCTTTCTGCAAACTACTAGTGGATTCATTTAAACTGGGCTAGGCCTCGTGGTTTTTCCCGTTTTTTTTGGATTTTTCACGTAAAAATCTTGTTGTCTCTAGTGAATGTCGTACACTCTCTTTTTATCTATATGTGTGCTGGATCTTTGTATAACGCTAAGACATTAAACATTATTTTTCTTTATCGCCGTGAATACTCTATGATGCAACAAATATATTTTTATTTAAATTAAATATGAAAATGTACTATAAAAAAATAATTAAAATAAAAGAGTTGTGTTGAAATTAATTTAAATGAGCATGATAATAAATTTTTTCATTATTGTGAAATTTATCATTTTATAACAGCTATTATAAAAAAATTTAAAACCCCAATGTCAAATTCAAACTCTAGGAAGAGCAAACCTTTAGACAAAAGACCTACTCTCTGCTTGCAAAAATCAAAAAGAGAAAAAAACACTCTTCAACGATCCAAATTCTACCTGCCAGCTTCCTCTCAGCTGTTCTTCTTCTCAAACGCGCTTTTACTTCTTCATACCCCGTTATCCCACCCTCTCTCTCTCTCTCATGGCCAACCCAATGCTATTGCTCCTCTTACTGATCTCCGTAGCAAACTTCCTCCGACCATCTACCTCACAGAGTTTGCCGGCGGCGCAACCATCTAACTTAACGACCTGTAACGGCATCTTCATCAACTACCTGTTCGAGAACCGGCAAAAGATCCATCCTTTCGTTTCCGAACCCACCAAGCAACCCTATTCTTTCGGCGCCAACGTCACCCTGCTCAACTCAGGTACCATCGTTCTCAAAGCCTGGACCCTCGTCATCGGCTTCTCCCACCTTGAGATCCTCGTTTCCATCTCAAACGCCGTCCTTGCGGACGGCTCCGCTCTCCCCTTCCAGTCCGATCCCAAAACTCCCGTGGAGTTCTCCGGCTTTCCCAACCCCGATCTCAAAACCCCCATCGCCACAGCAGGAGACCTCTCCCAGATCCAGACCTCCGTCTCCATCATCGGAACCCAGTTTGGTGTTTCTAACCCAGCCATCCCCCTTCCTTCCACTCTGTCTCTGTCCGACCCTGCCTGGACTTGTCCTCCTGCAGCCATCGACCGTTCCAATAGATCCATCTCCACTTGTTGTGTGCAGAATCTTGATCCTAGCACTAACTCCACCTTGAACGACAACTCCACTCTCGCTGACGAAAACTTCCTTCCTCGCCGCGCCGGCGACCTCTCCATTACTTACGACGTCATCCAGGCCTTTCCTTCGAGCTACCTCGCGCTCGTCACGATCGAAAACGAAAGCCCCCTTGGCCGCCTCGACAACTGGCGGCTTTCCTGGGAGTGGATGCGCGGTGAGTTCATAAACTCCATCAGAGGCGCTTACACATCTTTAGTTTCGTCCTCCGACTGTATTTTCGGGAAGCAGGGTGAGTTTTACAAAGATCTAGATTTCTCCAAGGTCGTAAATTGTCAGAAGATACCAACAATATTAGATCTCCCCTCTTCAATGGCTAATGACAATGATCTTGGCAAGATCCCCTCTTGCTGCCGGAACGGCACCATCCTTCCGAAATCTATGGACGCCTCCCAGTCTGCCTCTGCTTTTCAACTCCAGGTATACAAAATGCCGCCGGACGACAACCGCACCATTTTGAACCCTCCACAAAACTGGCATATCACCGGTGTGACACTGAACCCCGATTACACCTGCGGCGCACCAATCCGCGTCGCGCCTAGCAAATTCCCTGACCCCAGCGGCCTCCAGTCCAACTCCTCGGCCATTGCATCATGGCAAGTGATTTGTAACATTTCTCAGCCAAAAAACTCCAAGCCCAAGTGCTGCGTCTCCTTCTCTGCTTATTATAACGACTCCGCCGTCCCTTGCAAAACCTGCGCCTGCGGCTGCCCGGCCTCAAGCTTATCTCGCACTTGTAATGCCACGGCCCCCGCTCTTCTCCTCCCTCCCGACGCCCTCCTCGTTCCCTTCGATAACCGTAGCGCAAAGGCGTTGGCTTGGGCTGAGATCAAACACTTGGCCGTTCCTAAACCCATGCCCTGCGGCGATTTCTGCGGCGTGAGCGTTAATTGGCATATCAATACTGACTACGGGAAGGGGTGGACGGCGAGGGTAACTCTGTTCAATTGGGATGATGTGAGCTTGGCCAACTGGTTTATGGCCGTCGAGATGCCCAAAGCTTACGATGGATTTGAGGCTATGTATTCGTTCAACGCGACGGCGATAGGGAAGGATACAATCTTCATGCAGGGGCTACCGGGATTGAATTATTTGATGGGAGAAGTGGATGGATCAAATCCAGCGAGTGACCCGAGAGTGCCAGGCAAGCAGCAGTCTGTGATCTCGTTCACCAAATCGAAAACTCCGGGGATTAATGTGCCTTCTGGAGATGGATATCCTTCAAAGGTATTCTTTAATGGAGAAGAGTGCTCGTTGCCGGACATGATTCCGACGGGCGGTGCTTCGAGGATTGGGGGTGAAGGCAGAGTTTCCATGGTTTTGATTTTACTTGCTACTGTTTTTGTTCTATTTGGGCAATAGGTCGAACGGTTTGGTTGCAATGCCTATTCTTTGGTTCTTTTGGTGCTGAAAGGCTGTCACAGAGCTCAGAAAGGGAGGAATGAAGCAAACTGTAGCGAGTATGAAAGTCAACATTCTGTGTTAAATGGGCACATAGTGTTCTTATTCATTGATGTTGATCTGCTACTTCTTTGTTCCAAAAATTAATGGTTTTTGTCCTGGAGAAACTTATGATGGCATACAGTTTTCATATTTCAGTTATTAGGGAATTTGTTATGCTATTTTCTTTTATGAACTCTTGACTGAGATCCAACTTCTTTATGCCAATTTCTCTACTTGTGTAATATCAAGATAGAACTGACAACGTCCTTCAACGTCTATTTTATATTTTGAATTACGGTTCTTTAAAAGGTTTTGACAATAGGATTATCATAAATAGAGTTCAGATCGGGTTTGGCTTTTAACTTAAATTTTTTTTAGATTAATTGGATTTAAATTAGCGGCTGTTTGTTTTGAAGTAAAAAAAGAATATATAATATTTTAAATGCAGCAGATATAAAAGTAGTGATAATTGGTCTGAAAGTAATATTTATGTTATTTGAAATTCATTTTCCAGTTCAATTTTGATATTTTATTCATTTTTAAATGTAATATAAATTTTCTTTAATTATCACCGCGTCTATAATTATGGACGCAAGCCATCCACTTTACTTTGTGATGTGTCACCAAAAATCATCTAAATTGGATGTGAATTTCAAGGCATATTATTGTTGGAAACTTTCATAATTAAATTTGTGCCCATCCAAATTTTTATTTTAGTAAATTTATAGTCAAATTCAATGTCTCGATGAGACAAACCCAATGATATGAATGTCAATTAGCTACACAACTTGAATATTCGACCCAAGCCTAACCCAAAAATATGGATTCGAATCAACCCATTAAAGAAATGAGTTGGGTTTGAGCCATATTTTTGGACTTGTTTATAATTCGTGTCAGGTTTGGGTCGACCCAATAACTCAGGATCAACTTAATTTGACTCGTGCCTAACCCCCTTCCCGTTGATAACACACCCCGTGCAGCTCATGCAACACAAGCACACAACTTGCCCCGCATCGCGCCAAGCTCACTCAAATTACCGCCCTACGCATAGTTCACTTGCCTTGCTTTACTAGTCCAAGCCCGCATGCATGATTGCAACCCAAACTGGTGAGGGTGCAGGTGTGAGCGGCCTGGCAGGACCACGCAAAAGCGAGGGTAAGGGAAACCGAGTGGGCGAGCGCGCGGTTGTCGGGTCAATAATATTATATTTTATGTATTAATTTGTTAGTGAAAACATATTTTCTTAATTGTGTTTGTGCAAGAAATTGACAAAATTTTCAAATATGGTACATCGTCGTAGTGTCGGATACAATACTACTATGGCACCATTATTGATGTTGTCGAAGCCTCCAAATATGGACATGGTGGCGCCTAGTCTCTATTTGTCAATGCTACAACATCGGAGGAACCAGTGCTGCAAGCCCAAACTCTATTTGCACAACACCGCATTGCCAAATTTCAGTGCCGTCAAGTCAAGGGGAGTGTGAAGTGGAAGCTGCAGCTTTCAACTTTTAGCAATGTCATGGCGCTGAAATTGTAATCAATCAAGCCACCATATGTCAGCAAAGTGATGCGTCAATTTGCTAAATGGTGTATTAATGTGAGCAAGCGTCACGGTAGAGGAAATTTTTTAGGGATGCGACGTTAGTTCATTTTATAGGTGCCGCGGCATAAGTGTCTTGTGCGTCGCAGCGCCAGAATTCATTTTCTGTGTTTTTTTTATAAATAGTCCATTTGTATTGTTAGTAGATGAGTTCAGTCACCTGCTTAAATTCAATCTTTAAAATGCCTCTCTAGTTTTTCCTCATAAGTGACAACTAAAAGAATTCAAAGAAGTACTAATTGGGTCAGATGAATTATACTCGGGTCAATTCTTAGTTCAACCTAAACCCTACCAACCTACCATTTTTTCCCTACGCAATGACAGTTGAATCGATTCAATTCAAGACCAAATGGGAATAAATCAATGGCTTTAAGCATATTTAGGAGCTTTAAAATATTAATTAGGAGGCCACATTATATCTAAATATAGTCAAATAAAGCAGCTCGATAAAATGAATCCAACAAGCATAAGATCGCTTGATTTTGACATCATTAAGGTGTATAAATATTAATGAAATAATCTATGATCAAGAGAATCAATATAGATCATTTGATGGAGTACTCCATATTTATTATAGATTTTCTTATTATTTATTAGGCATGGGTTTGGTTTCATATAAAACTAAAAAGATAAACTCTTCATCTCTCTATTATCATTAATATGCACTTTGTATTATTCTTTCATCCAACCAAATGGCAATTTAATCAATCAAAGTTGGTTTGAAGTTAATAATGCATATAACATATGTTATTTATCAATATTTTAAAATCGGATCAAACCAATATAGGCAAAAATTGTCGGTTCAATAGGCAAATCGCTGAACCAGTCACAACTCTGTTAAACTAACCAATTAAACTTTCAATTATTTGAATAATTAAATAAATTATTTTAAAATATTAAGAATAATTTATTAAGTAATATTTCTAATTTAATTTTTAATTTAAAATGCTTGGTTTTAAATTAAAAATATATAACTAAGCTTTTTCCAAGATTCATCACTTTATATGAGGCATAACTCCATTTTAACTCAAAAGTCAATATAAAGTAAAAGCATTATCAAGAGAAAGTTCCCCAAATGATGTGGGACTATAAAAGTTAAAGTTCTTACTTTTTAATACTTAAGTTTACAACCCACACTATATATTTTAAAATAAAATTTTATGAATATAATATACTTTTTTAATTAATAATATAAATAAATAAATATTTTAATTTATTCATATGTACTATAAAAATTAATTTATTTATTTATAATATAATCTATCTAATCTCAATAATTTTATAAAATTATAAATATATATGAATTTAAATAAATTTATAAGTGGTAATTGATCATTAAATATGTAACATAAATTAATAATAATTTATATTAAAACTTATAATTGACATATAAGTTATTTTAATTAAATGGTCAAGTTCAAAGTAAAATATATTATATTTCAATACATAAGATTTTTAGTAGTGTGAATTCAATTTATTTTTTCATAAAAAATCTTATATTATTTTATTTTTTGTATTAAAATATTATTTATTACATACATCTCGCTTTACTCAGTTCAACCGGTCGAACCGTGTAACCTCATCCGTCTACCAGTTCAATGTATCTGGTCCAAATTCACGGTTAATTATACCACAATATTTTGGGTATTGTTAAAATTTACTAGAAAATTAGCTACATATACAAAGAGTTTTTATATGATTATTTATTTTATTGTAGAAGTTATATTACTGTGCTAATATAGTGATATTCTATCTTCTATTAATATTAAAAATTTTTTGTTGATTTTGACAATTTGAAGCAAGCCATTAGAAGAGTGGGGAACAATGACTGATCTCTAAACATTATAATGGAGATTTTTGAGGAAAAAATTGTTATATCAGGTTGATTTGCCGTACTCCCATACCGAACTATTTCGAGTCCTCGGTAGAGAACGTATTAGTTTTTAGACATCTTGCTTAACTATGAGAAGAAGATCTAAACACCAAATAAATAAAAGAGTTGGTATAGTGTTTATATACAGAGGAACAAATATAATTTTAGACGTGAAAACCAACCTTGTAAAAGAAGGAAAGGAAATCACGAGGGTCTAGAACTTACTTATTTGAAGAATCCACTAGTGCTATTTCAAATTTGATTACAAATTTAAGGCCCTTAGGAGTGTAAGGTCTTGGTCGAATAGATAGCAAATATACATCAATAGGAGTTGCAATTATATGGGAGAATGGGAAAGTAGAATTTCATCTTATCAGTAGTTTTTATAGTTAATTAGGTACGGACAAATATGACTCATTAAGTCAACGAGAGATGTGTAAGTCCAAAGATAGATTAGTAGATGACGAGTTTCGGAAAGCATCATATTCCCTAGACAAGGCTTAAAAGGATCGCAATAAACGTGGAAGAAGGAATGGAGTTAGGGTTGGTGCACACTTTCACCGGATCGATGGTGGATACTGACCTAAAGATAATGTTATATATTATTAAATAATATTATAAATAAGACACATTATCCTAATATAATATAAACAAATTGAAATAAAAAAAAATAATAATACTTTTACTATATAATAGTAAATGTTAGGCAAATTAAATATCAGCAATATTTAATATTTCTAAAGAAAATCACTCTTATATAGGCTAGCAATTAGAAGATTTTTTAAAAATAATACAATTAAATCTACTAATTTCATAGTAATTTTATTTACTAATTTAATATATTTAATAATTTAACGTAATTCAGTATATCATTAACATAATCTTCTAACTATTAATTTGTTTATTAAAATACTAATTAATTAAGAATTATTCAACTTAGAACCGAAAAAAAAAAGTGACCTAAGCTTTTAAGAAAAAAAAAACCTTGTCCACGCCCTATGTTTTAAACCCTCTCCATGTTTCCCTGCCAAAGATTTATTCCAATCATAAGAAAAAAAAAACTTTAGTCCACATCGTGAAAGAGGTAAAGATTATTTTGCTTATATTAATATATAAGACCTTTTGAAAATAAGTAAGTTATGTATTGTGTTGTATGCTCTATCCCAGTGTGTATTGAGTTATACTTCTATACTAAATATTTTATATATAATACAAATTATTTTTTTGATTTAATAGATAATTAATGACTCATATTTGCCCCCATGTTGCATCCCCGCCCCTACCTCCACCAAATCCGGCGAAGATGCTGCACAGCCGCCGTCGGTCAAGAAGCTGACGCGAAAACGGTTATGAGAAATCGGAGCCGATTTTCCGGTTGAACGGTCGAACCGGCAGTTCGAACGGTCCGAGACCAGTCCGACGCGAAAATGGTTCTCAAGCGAACTGAAACCGGCCGGGCAGCCGGTTCGCGGTTCAACCGGTTGAACCGGCCGGTCCGGTCCGGTTTTAAAAGCCTTGGTCTGGAGATAGTGGTCATAAGGACTATAGTCAACAGGCCATGGTGGTCAGAATTTGCTATGGTTGTTGGAATAACTGTAGTCCATGAACGATAGAGGTCGGGAGGACCATAATCGACGAGAGACAAAGCTCGACAGGATAATAATTGACAATAAATCTCT